CAGTGAATAATATTTAAACCATTGACGGCCAATATCATCGAAACGTTACGTTGCCTAGGGTGAATGATCGGGTTTGGTGTTACTCCTCTTCTTGCCCATGAATGACTGCGAAACATGTGTAAATTAAATGAACTTTCATCAATAAAAACAATATTTCGATAACGATTAATAGGCGAGATTGAAGTATACCACCTAACATATTCAATATGAAGATTTTTTACATCATTGTCCTTTCTTCTTTCATAAATTGGTCGAGTAATTTTATATGTGTATCCAAGATTGGTCACCTATCTCCAGACAGTTTTAATTGATACATTTACATTTAAAGCATATTTAATTTCAATTATAGTTGTTGTTGTGTTATTGTTTATAAGCTCTTCAATTCTTCTTCTAATCTCTTCATTATAAATAACGTGACGAGTGCCACCTCTAGAACCAGGAAGTGTTGAATTCGTTCGATCGTACCTTCTTAAAATTGATTGTATTGTGATTTGATTAACTCCTGTTAACGATGAAGATTCAGATTGAGTTTATCGTGGCAATGAAGTTTCAGATTGAATTTTTCTTTAATCAACATCTCAAAACAAATTTTCGCTTATTTTTGCAAACAGAATTTCGCTGCATGTTTTTGTTTTAATGAAAATCTAATATCCTCATGCGCTAAATATTTTAATAGGAAATCACGGTTGTTTTAATTATCATCATGCATGTTTTAATTGAACATCATGGTTGTTTTGCCAATACAGTATGTGTATAAAAAATATATAAAAAAATATAGTTTTGCATCCATTTAAAATAAACGTGACATCCATTCAAATTTAAAATAAGTTCCATTAAATTAAAATAAATTAATATAATATTATTAAAAATAAATTTATATAATATTAGATAAATCCTTCCAATGCGATGACAAATATGAAAGTCTTAAACTTGGAAAAACTTAATTTATATCAGATTCTTATTTTTATGTTCAAATATAAAAACAATATACTACCAAATTCTTTTTTAGACATATTCTCGTCATCATTTTCTCAAAGTTATAATCTACGATCAAATAGCTTCCAAAACTATTATATTAAAAAAACTAAAACCTGGGGTTCTGAATTTTCAATTATGTCACAGGGTCCGAAAATATGGAAAAACTTGAAAAATCAAAAATTAAAAGACTTAAATGGGATACCGTCGTTTAAACGGCAAGCAAAGCTGCATATTCTTAGTTTGTTAAATAAAAAAAAAAAGTAAAAAAAAAAAATAAAAGTAAAAAAAAAAAAAAAATAAATAAATAAAATGTATATATACATATATATATGTATGTGTGTATGTATATAATGTGTATATATATATATATACATATATATATATAAATATATATATATATATATATATATATATATATATATATATATATATATATATATATATGTGAGTGTGTGTATGTGTGTGTGTATGTATATATATATATATATATATATATATATATATATATATATATATGTATATATATGTATGTATGTGTATGTGTGTGTGTATGTATATGTATACATATATATACATATATATATATATATATATATATATATATATATATATATATATATATATATATATATATATATATATATATATATATATATATATATATATATATATATAAATGAACGGCTGTTATAACAACATTAAAAAATTGAAAATGAGAGTGAAACCCCTTTCTCATTAAGACTGGTTAGTGAGGAAGTTATTTAACTTTCATTTTCAAATACACTTATAACGTACAAACTTTAATAAAATATACAAAATGTTTAAAAGCAGAATTTTTTGTTTTATTTTCTTTTTTTCTTTTTCATCTTTTTTAATTTTTGGCCATTTTCGAGAATCACATAAGGTACGAACGTATACCTTTTCATTTGAATTTGTGAAAAAACCAGGAAAAGTTTTTGTTTTTCCTCCTCATCAATAGACTTTTTTTGGGCATACGTCCCGGGTAAAATCAGACCATCTATTGTTGTGATCGGCAACACCTCGAAGCTTTCATTCGTTTTTTTTAAAGCATAATTGTATAAGTTTTTTATATATAATGGGCAAATTGTAGCTTGTGTTTTCCCATCACTTTTTTTTCTTCTAACGTAATCCCTAAATAAGTAAAGAAATGTAATTTAATAAAAATATCTAAAAGAACAATTTTCAATTAATAAAAAAATATAATGAAATTTGCACATACCTAACATTTTTGTATTTTTCGTAAATCTAATTTTGTGGTTTGTAAGAAGATTTACTTTATAAGAGAACATTCGTATCTCCATAAAGTTTCCCGCCTCGTCAATGTGACGTAGTGAAACACTTTGGTAAGGTTCCTTCCACCTTAGAATTAAATGTCCAATATCATGAATAATTAAAAAAGAAATGTTACTGTGTTGATATATTCTTTTGAATTGATTTAACTTCTTTTCAAAATTTCTTTGAAAATAACGTTAACACATATAATGTTTGCTTTTGGTATGCAATCCGTTAATGCTAGTAAGTTTTCACATTGTTTTTCATACTTTATTTTTACTTCATTAATTAAGTTTTTTAAAACATCTAAATTAAGTTCGAAATCAAATATAACTAATCGGTTAAATTTATTAGTATTTAAAAAACTTTCTGCAACTTTAGCTGCAATAATTAGTGACTCTACTTCGCTCACATTGTTGCTAAAAAACACTAAATTATAAACACTAAATTGTTAGTTTATCAATTTTAATTAAAAAATATATTTATTAGCTAATTCAGGATCATCCCTAGTAATAGTCATGGAGTTAGGCTTGACTATTACAGAAGAAAGGCCTACTTTGAGCCACAGCGCCCCCTTTTTCCTAGAGACGATTCTGAGCTAATTAATAATAAAACATTTATCAATCTAATTACTAGTAAAATTGCTTTTATAAAATACTTTTAAAATCAAAGTTGTTATATATAATAAAGACAAATATAAAAATAAAATATTACATAAAAATATAAATAGTATTAACAGAAAATTTTGTCTTTCTTATTGATAAAAATAAAAGTCATTAATAGATCTAAATGAATAAAATAATGAGAAAATTTAAGGTTTTAGTTGTTAAATTGATACAAGTTAAACTAATTTCAAATAAAAAAGAATAAATATATTTATGCGACACTACTACTGAACTTTGAGTTGAGAGTGAAGTAATAAAAAATGAGGTTAAGAGTGCGGCAACAAAATATGTCTGATATCTTTTCATCATTTGGGACATGCAGCCGTAAAAGAGGTGGAGCAAAACAGGCATTAAAAACAGAAAAGGTCACAATGGTTTGTGTGATGGCGATGTAATGATAATGTTGTTGTTGTTGTTGTTGTTATTGTTGTTGTTGATGATGATGATAATGATAATGATGCTGATGACGATGATGGTTATGATAATGATGATGATGATGATGATCAGTCGTACTTTGAGATTTGCTACATTTTTTTAGATTTGCTACATTTTTGGGTAGATTTGCTACACCTCATAGATTCGCTACATTTTTTGGGTAGAAAAGCTACTCGACCCAGTAGAATTGTTACACGAGAATAGAAAAGCTACATGTCGCAATTCTATAAATAATTACGCTATTACCGTTAAAATCAGGCTAAAAAAATATAATTCAATTTAGCCGTTTTTTTGTAAGTGGTGTGCATTTATATAAATTTACAAACTTATATGAACACTAATATGATAATAATTACTACTTTTACTTTAATATTTTTTAAATGTATATTAAAAAAGGTATGTCTTCATAAATAAATTATCAACAATTTGATATATATTGTAGTTCAATATATACTGTTGTACAATTTGTACAGCAGTATAAAGCATTAAGAATGTCTAAATCATGATTGCTGATCCATCAGTATCATTTGATATATCAGGAATCACAATATAATTATAATCTCTTCCATTTATGTACTTGTACAAAACATTTAATGAGTTGACAACTTATGAAAGCTTAAGCAAAGATACAACTCAGTTGAACTTTTGCTTAAACATTCAAGACTTATTTTCCTGTAGTAGTCTTTCTGGCATTTTTCTAAAATTTGAAAGTGTTAATACAAAATCGATTTAAGATTTTAGAATTTCTTTTGGTTTTTTTTTAAATATGAAAGTGTTATTCATTAACTGAATTTTAGTTAGTATTTTGGATTTCAAATAATTTTTGAAAGATGAAATTTTAGGTTGAATTATCTGTCTATTACCACAGGTTTTTTGCTAATGTTTACTAAATATTTAGAAATAAAAATGTCATCTGTAATAGGTTGTGTTTTGTGTAACAAAAATGATGTGCAAAGTTATGGATTAACACTTGGAAATGGGCAATCTATTTGCAAGTGTGCAAGTAAGTATAATTTTATTTTTAAAAAGAAAAATATTAAAAAATTATTTAATAGACATTTATCATACAAACTCTCGCACACAGATATTTTTCAAGTTACAACTTCATATAAATTAATATCTATTTATATGTTTAAATGTATGTATATATATATATATATATAAATATATATATAATATATATATAAATATATATATATATATATATATATATATATATATATACACATATATATATATATACATATATATATATATACATATATATATATATATATATATATATATATATATATATATATATATATATATATATATATATATATATATATATATATATATATATATATATATATATATACACAAATTCGTCAATATTAAGTATATTGTTGGAACAGCCTTAAATACAAATTTCACATTGAGTAAGTTTTTTTTTGTAATAATTTATCAACATATTTTAACGATATATATATGTATATATATATATATATATATATATATATATATATATATATATATATATATATATATATATATATATACATATATATACATATATATATATCGTTAAAATATGTTGATAAATTATTACAAAAAAAAACTTACTCAATATGAAATTTGTATTTAAGG